GAGTTTTCTGGAAAAGAAAAGAATTTTATCAGTTTGATTTAAGCTATGTGAATTTGGGTTCCACTTGTAATTGTGACATGCCCTTTTTTTTCTCGATAAATTCATATTCATTTGAGTTCTGAAAATGGAGTAAAACTGCACAAATTTAGTACTTCTCTCAGCTACGCCTTCGATTAAGATCAACCCATTAATCTAGATTTCTTGAAAGCTCAGGAAAGCGGTGGTTTGAAATCATTCAGCAAAGCTAGTGTTGAAGTTGTGGCTGAGAAGGTCGTTCATCTTTGACAAGCAATCTCTGACTGTTTTGAGGAATCTCTGACTGGAGAAACTCGTCGCCACCAATGAATACTTGTCGAATAAAGATGGAGGATGATCGGAGTTCGAGCTAAGTTCACTTTGCTTGCCGAAAATGGTGCAGAATTTCAATGAGACAAATGAGAAGTAGCCGCCGGTGGATAGATGCAGCCATAATCACTGTAATTGCTTCAATAGCAGAACAAAGGAGGAATGAACGAAGATATTGAGCAATGAACGAAGAACGAACAATGAATTAGGGAGGAGAGTTTTGTTCTGAAACTTTTTGAGGTTACAGGGAAGGAGATAGGTAATGAGAGTTTTAACGCCGTTAGTGTTTAATTAACAGCAGGGTCTAACAAATCTAACTATGTAAAGTTAAAGGATCCAATAAAAAAAAAAAAGGGACTTGATTCAAAACTAAGACAAACTATAAAGACTTTCAAATTAGTTTTTCCAAACGAAAATGTTATACAGTTTGAAATGAAATATCAAATGGGTAAATATTGCAATGTTTCTCCCCCCACGTTCACGGACACGTATATTTGTTAAAGACTTAAAAGTCTATGGCGGCTGGCGCTGGTTGTGACTGAGGGTCGCACAGTAGAATATTTAGAAATTAAGATGGGTGGGCCCCATGCAAAGATCTCCCCATTACAAGAACAAGGGTGGCCGTACGCAACGGCATATTGCGTCCTTTTCAGACCTTACACCCTTTTGTTTTCTAGTATTTTAAATTAGGACTGGAGATAGTATTACAGTTATTTATTGTTTTCAGTTTTAACTAAAAAAGAATTTTGTTATTTCTCCAGAATTGCTAAAAGAAGCAGGGTCTTGGAGTAAGGAAACTACAAAAAGAAATGTTTGGCTAATCCTAGAAATATTTTTAGAAATATTTACAAATTCTTTCACATATTTACCTCGTATACTGTAAAAATATTTTTAAAATTATTGTTTTGTTTTTATCTAGACACCCTCAAAGTCCTGCATGATTGTTTTAACTTTCAACACTGATTGCTGCAGGAATATTTTTTGCTGCATTCACTATTCCCGGTACTAACAAGAACAATACAGGAGATCCTAACTATTTGGAGAAATTCACTATTTCAGATATTCGATACCTCAGATGCATCTGCATATATTGTGAGAGTGTGTAAACATGGCCTGAATATAAAACAAAAATAGGAGAGAGACAAAAGGGCCCGTAAAGCGTCCGTCCGTAATTTGTTATCTTCTCATATTTTGTTGCTTTGTTCATAAACACGAATTATAGGATCAACGGATCGCTTGGTGTCTATATTGACTGCTTCAAATTTTGTGATGCCTCAATGTAAATTCCACTTAATCAAACAATTATATTTAAGTATTATGAATCCAAAAAGTACTCGTTCCAAAGAACTATAGCTCTAAATATTAGTTATTCTTCACCTACAAACAAACCAAGATACATTATAAACTCCGAAGGTTTCATTTATTTTTATAATTAAAGCTTTAATGTCATTGATTCAGAGTTTTTAAATTTTTTAAAGACTACTTATGTTTCAGAGTCATGCATGTTTGAAGTCTTAAATAATGTGTTCCAGTTTCAACATTGAAAACTAAGTCATATTCAAAGTACGGTGCCCACAAGCTAATTATTTCTGTGTTCATAGAACCAAATTAGACAAGGACAATAGATCAATGGAAATCAAGTTCAGACGCAAAGCATAAACACATAATGTTTCATCTCTGCTAGCGAGACACACACACACACACACACACATTCTTCCTAACGAAGCCATCTCACTCCAATGTCTCTGGCACTCCACGGGCCATAATCTGCATGAAAACGAAATCGGGGATGAGCATATACAATCTAATAAAGAGAAGAGAGAAATTGTACGTCATACTTAGCTTTTTCGTTGGGATTGGGAGTAGGTAAAAAGATTTAAGTTTCGGACGAGAAGTAAAAGAGTTCTTGTCAGTTATATATTAAAAATATAGCCAATATGCGAAAGTTTTTGCCAGGTATCAGATATCATTGCGTATATATACTTCAGACTGATATCGAAAAATAATGAAAACAAACCTGACAAGTTTATGGGCTTAATGAGAGGGATCATGGTGTGTGGGAGAAGATCTTGAGGGGGGTTGGGATTGGAGTGGGAGTTCTTGAAAAGGTGGTGGTGTGAGGATGCGGCGTATGTGCCAGGGAAAAAGCCTTCTGCGTGGTTGGCATTTGAGTGCCATTAGCAGTTCTTGAAGAGTTAGAGCCGAGCTGAGTCTGAGTGGGGGGCGTAAGAACCTTCTGGTTATTGATGCTTTCAGAATTCATAGTGGAGCTTGGCTTTAAACTGAGAATCTCTGAGATATAGAGAAATAACCTTGCTCAAGTAGATGACAGAGTTGCCTTGAAGCTTGTTGCAGTAGAGAAGAGGTATTTATAGAGAAGAGGCACTCGGATATTCGACACTAGCTAATTGAAGAATGACTAGACTTTGAAGCCTGACGAGTGGGAGCAAATGCTGGGCCCAGGGAGAGAGGCAAAGTCAGATTGTTGAAGCATGAGATTGCTTGGACATGGGTTCAACTGCTTGTGACCAAAAGATTGTACTGGCAATTAGAGTCTCTGTGTCGTTTATTGGTGCCTCCGGGTGAGAGAGAGAGAGAGAGAGATCGTAAAGGAAAGGAAAGGAAAGGCAAGGCAAGGGCATGCTGATGATGGAGAGGATTTGAGGAGGGGAGGGGGGGAGCAGACATTGATTTTACTGTCTGCAAATGTATTTCTAGTTTTGCCTGCAACAGTAGCCCCACAGAGATGTGACCATTTGCGAGTGACCCTGCTTTAGCAGATCATCGCGTTAACATGGTATTCCCTGCCTCTCTTTTCAACTCACTTATATATAATCTTTTTGGGTTTTGAGAATTGATGGCAGTACTTAGCAGGTCATATTATAAAGTATTCCATTTTTTGTCTCTTTCCAACCCACTCGTATAATTCTTTTTGATTTGAGAATTAAGGGCCCTACTTTAGCGGGGCATATTAACGAGTGTTCCCTTCCTCTCTCTCTTTTTTTGACCAAAACAAGAGTCCATTTTATTAATACTCAAAAAAACAAGGTACACACGCTAATAGCCACTTAAGGCCTGAAAAATAAAAACACTCAAGAAACGCCTAGGAATACAACCTAACACACAAAATTGAAACCAAAAAAAGACAATAACAAGAGCCAAAATAAAACCAAAGAAAGAAAGCAGAAAACCAGATACAAAGCCTTAACCAATACCAGATCTATCTAAGCTGCCAAGACATACAGGTGCACCAGCATTCCGTCAGCCAACTTCCTCATCAACAACCTGATCTGATCCTGCAGTGCAAACAGTGTCAAACCAAGACTCCTCATCCAATAAGAGTTTGCTAAGAGGGGGTGGAGGTTGGGCAAAGCAACCTTCAACTCTCACCCCCGTTAAACTGAGACTGCCAACCAATCTGCAGCCTTATTTCTTGATCTAGAGATAAGATCAAAACCAGTGTCTGTATCAGAACTCAAACGTGCAATTATGTCTTCAACTACAACTTGTGACTGCCACTCACAGTATGCACCGGTACCATTTTTCACCGCCTTGAATAGGACCTCACAATCAATCTCAATGAGGAATTTGCCATTGCCATACATCCGTATCAAGTCCAATGCTTTCCTGACAGCAAGAGCTTCTGAAATAAAAGCAGAAGAAGCTTGTACTTGTTCAGCAAAAACCTGTAAGACCTTGCCATTTTCGCTCCTGAAACTTATTCCTATTCCTGCTTTTCCAGATTTAGCCATGAAAGAACCATCTACATTTACCTTAATAATTCCAGCACCAGGTGCATTCCACTTTTCCAGGGTTCTCATAGCAGCATTTGACTCGTTCTCCCTCAACCATCCTCTGGCAATCCAGAATTCATTAATTAAAGAGATAGCATTCCTCAACGTTTTTCCTGGTTCTATCTCAACATCCTGGAAGACAACACTACATCTACTCTTCCACACATGCCAGCAGATAGAAGCAAGCAAAGCCTTTTGGAAATAATTGCCTTTTCTGCCTTCACCTAGTATCAGCCAAAACCACTTATCAAATATGGAAATTCTCCTTTCATTCACCATAACTCCAATGGGCGAGCCATACCAAACCTTCTTTACCCAGTCACAGAGAAGAAGACAATGCTCCACTGTTTCATCACATCTTTCGCAAATTTTGGATACTAGGTCCTTACAACACTTTCTCCTGAATAAATTCTTAGCTGTAGCTAGGCCACCATGTATTGCTCTCCAAATAAAATGTTGAATTTTTGGAGGAACTTTAAGTTTCTAAATCTCACTCCAAAGTCCCTCCGGTATCACATAGGAAGTTTTAGGTCTCATTCTCCTTGAAACACTCTTGCCATTCTTCAACTCAGCATATCCAGACCTCACAAAATAGTTGCCATTCTTGTTGCCTAACCAAACTAGAGTATCCCCTCTCTCCAATGAAGATAAAGGGATTTGTGATATTTTCTGGACCAGTTCAAAATTAAACATATCACAAAGGAGTTCCTTCTTCCACTGGCCATCTTCTATGAGGTCACTTACCAACATTTCCATATCAACAGAGTTATTTCCTCCAAGGTACTTCAGAGCACATTCCCCCACCCATCTGTCCTCCTAAACCCTCACCTTCCTACCATTTCCAATTCTCCATGCTAAATTCTATTTCAGAAACTCTCTTCCTTCTAAAATGCTAGACCAACCCCATGAGGCTCTCCCCCCCTTGCTAGCATTTAGAAAATCAGAATGAAGAAAGTAGAGACCCTTCAGCATTTTAGCCCATAAAGCCTCAGGATTCTGAATTAATCTCCACGCAGTCTTTGCTAACATGGCTAGATTAAAATGTGCAAAGTCTCTGAATCCTAAGCCACCTTTCTTCTTCTGCAACGTCATGATGTTCCATGCTTTCCAGTGGATCCCATCTTCTTCCAAGCCCTTCCCCCACCAGAATTTAGAGATAAACCTATCAAACTCTTTGCAAGTTTTCATAGGCATTTTGAAACAAGTCATGGGATAAACAGGAACCGTATTAGCTACAACCTTAATCAATACTTCCTTTCCAGCCTGAGTAAGGTATTTCTATTTCCATCCTTGTATCTTCTTTATCATCTTTTCGCGATTGAAGGCAAGTGACTCAGCCTTTGACTTGCTCCAAATAATAGGGAGGCCAAGATATTTCCCTGGATCTCTGGTTTCTTTTATTTCTAGCCACCTACAAACACGGTTTCTTCTCTTTTCATCAGTGTTTGCAGAAAAATAAATTCTAGATTTTTCCAGATTAACTAATTGACCAGAAGCATTTCCATATACTGCAAAAATCTTCTTTAACCTTCTGCAGTTTTTCCGTAAGGCCTTCATAAAAAACAAAGAGTCATATGCAAAAAGACAATGTGATAGAATTAGACAGGAGTGGCTCAACTTAATGCCTTCTAGGTAGCCTCTTTCCACATTCTTCTTAATCATACTAGATAACACGTCTGCAATCAAGATGAAGAGATAAGGTGAGAGAGGGTCACCTTGTCTTATTCCCCTTTTTGGAGTCACCTCTGCAATTCTTTTCCCAGACAGCATAATAGAATACCTCACTGATCTGACACAACTCATGATGCATGCAACCTATCTTGAGTCGAAACCCAACTTCAACAAAAGATGCTCAAGAAAATCCCATTCAATTCTGTCATAGGCTTTACTCATATCCATTTTCAAGGCAAACTCAAATTTATTGACTCCCCTCTTTCTTTTCAAATAGTGGAATGCCTCATGTGCCAAAACAATGTTATCATGAATTATTCTTCCTTCAACAAAAGCACACTGGTTCTCAGAAATTATCCTCGGCATCAAAGACTTCATTTTATTTGTCAAGACCTTTGAAAGCAATTTATAACAATAATTACAAAGACTTATAGGTCTATATTGAGTGACAACTTCAGGTTTATCAGTCTTTGGAATCATCACCAAATCAGTGGTGTTCACAGGATCAATCAGAAGACCATTTTCAACACAATTTTTCACCAATTCAAAGATCTTGTCACCTACAGTTTCCCAAGAACAGTGATAGAATTGCCCAATAAAACCATCAGGACTAGGGGCTTTCCTCCCTCCCATCTGGAAACAAGCTGCCTTGACTTCTTCTTTAGCGACAGCTCTCATTAAGCGCATATTATCAGCTTCTGTAATTTTGCAATCAACATAGCTGATTGCCTAAGAGAAGTTTCACTCACCAAAATTTGTGAACAGACTTCCCCTCCTCCAACCATCTCCCACTTTCATTTTCAATCTCAGGATTTTATTTCTTGCCTTGTGCTGGATAGTCGTGAGATGAAAGAATTTTGTATTCCCATCCTCTTCTTTTAACCGTTTAATTCTAGATCTCTAATGCCAATATTTTTCTTCCAGTCTCCATACCTCTTCCATTTCACGGGAAATAGCCTCTTTCTGTATCAGAATTTCCTCAGTCAACATCTGATTATTACATTCTTCCAGCTTACTCATCAAAACTTCAATTCTTTTCCTATTATTAGGAAAGGCTTTTCTGCTCTATGATCTCAAAGCCTTGCTACAATTTACCAGTTTTGCAGCCACTTCATCTGCAACATTGCTATTTTGGTATTTATCAGAATTCCAGCTTCTACAAACCACCCCATCATATTCCTCATGCTTACACCAATAAGTTTCAAATCTGAAAAGTCTGGGACTTTTTTCCTATTGGTAATTCAGGTCCACCACTAATAAATGATGATCTGATCCTATAGGTTCACAGTGAAAGACCATTGCTTTTGGAAATTTTTCTCTCATTTCACCATTTCCAAAAACTCTGTCTATTCTTTCTTTGATATTGTTCACTCCTATTCTACCATTAGCCCAGGTGAATCTTGAACCTTTAAATTCTAAATCCAGAAATTCACAGTCACTGATCATTTTATGGAATCTTAGAATCTTCCTAGCAGCTCTTGGATTTCCCCCCATTTTCTCATTCTGATTCAGAATTTCATTGAAATCTCCAGCACACAACCAGGAGCCGTTTATAGAAGTAGCCAAGCTCGCCAATCTGTCCCAAACCCGAGACCTCTCTGCTTCTTTTGGGGGTCCATAAACCAGCGTAAGGAAATAAGGTGCATCTTCACTTGTGCAAGAGATCCTAGCATGAATAATGTTTGAACTGCCAGATATAAGATCAATTTGCAATTCATCCATCCACCAGACCGCCAGTCCACCACTTCTACCTCTAGGATCCATATAGAATTCACTATGAAAGCCAAGCTTCTTCTTAATTCTTTTTAAGTAACTCTGATGCTTTTTTGTTTCCATTAGGAACACTAAAGAAGGTCTATATTTAGTGCAAACCTCCTTTAGATTCCTTACTGCCAGGGAAGCACCAAGACCCTGGCAATTCCAAGTGATGAAGATCATGGCTCTCTGGTGACTGATTGTGGCCAGTCACCAGAACCGTTAACAGGATGTTGAGTATCTTCCCTTACATTCAACTGGGAAGAAAAGTCAAAATTCAGCAATGAACACTCTCCATTTCCTCTTTTCTGTCTTATGCTTTTTTTAACAGCCCTGATACTTCTTTTCACTTCCTTCTTCTTGACATGACCATGAATGGGGTTCTATGGTTCTACCACATTTTCAAAACATAGCTTTCTTCTCTTTTTATTATTATTTTCTTCTATGTCATCGCCCCTTCTTTTCAAACCAAAATTCATTAGTCCAAGGGTGACTTCAGCCATTGGTGATATACTTCCAAAAACGACCAAAGCTTTAGAAAAATCTTCCTTCATAGAAACCGGAGAGAGATTCTCCTTATCCACTGAGTTGCTATTTCTATTGATCATAATTGTTCTATTACCTTTTGATCTACATAGATTGCCCTCATTAGACTCCTTCTTATTCTTTTCTTCAGAATTTTCTTGTTCAACTTTTGATGGTAGCAAATTTTTTCCTTTCAGAGCATTCCCCTCGAATTCCTTTGATTCATGAACACAATTATCACATTGCTGTTTATTCTCCAGAGTCACTTCCTCCTCTTTTCCTCTTTTATCATTTATCTGATTACATTGTCCGGTCAGCCTTCGTCTTTCCTTCCCCTGCTTCTCAGTGTATTGTTTATAACCATCAGCTTCCTCCCAGTTAGATTTAAGAACTCTAATGGCATCAGTATTTTTCCTAGCAGCTTGAGTACTCAACCAGGACCCATACTTAGCTGAGAGGTTTCCATCATTTTCTTTTGAGAAACTACAATATCTCAAATCATGTCCAATTCTGCCGCATGCAAAACAAAAATTCTGTAGACGTTCATATCGCGCCTTGATCCAAATAGGATCCTTCTTTGTTCTAGGAGCCCACATTCCAGTTACCAAAGGTTTCCTTAGATCCACAATGACTCTCACACATAAAAAACTTCTTGTCTAGGCCTTCTGTCATTGGATCCTCGACCATTGTAACTTCACCTATCAGACTTCCTAATTTCACACATTATCAATATCCATTGCTGCACGAGGTAGATCGTGAAATTGAATCTAGAATGGACAAAAATCAAAATCTACTTGCTAAACACCGTCTCATCATCCCAGCACTGGATGTTCAGTAACAAACCATTGATCGACCACGATCGACCTCTCAGAATTCTCTCGTAATCATCTCTCCTACAGAACTCGAAGATAAAATCCTTATGATCCACTTCAACTATCTCAAGGTCCTCATTCTTCTGAAGATTCCATCCTTTCCAAATCATCTGGATGTAGTTGCTGGATTTAAATTCTTTTTCGACATGATCTTTCCAACCAGAGCACCACCAATCAATCTATGGTCTTCATTCTTTTCCAGATAAGATCCACCACAAATTCATCGGGATTCTCTTCATACAGTTATCACGACGCTTCTCACCAAATTCCATCTCCATCTCCACCTCTCCTCGTCCCTCTGAAACTTCTTTCCTCACTATTTTTCGTGTTACAATGTGTAACAGAGAAAACACTCTTTCTTCGCTTGGTCACAGTGGGCAACGAAGTTCACTCAGATCAGTCTCTCACTATCACACAACACGACGGATTCAGGATTCACAAGCGAAATCGATGATAATCGCCGTAACGAACTCTCACGTGGAGAGAGAAAATGCTCCCACTCAGGAGAGAGAACTAACCTTCCCTTCCTCTCTTTTGAACTCATTTATATATAATTTCTTTTGTTTTGAGAATTAATGGCCCTACTTAGTAGGTCATATTATAAAGCATTCCCTTTCTTCTCTTTAATTTTCTACTCGCTTATATGTAATCTTTAGTTTTGAGAATTAATGGCCCTACTTAGCAGGTCGTCATATTATAAAGCATTCCCTTCCTCTCTTTTCAAGTCATTTATATATAAGTTTTGTCTTGAGAATTAGTGGCCCTACTTAGCAGGTCATATTATAAAGCATTCCCTTCCTCTCTTTTCAACTCATTTATATATGATCTTTTTTGTTGAGAATCAATGGCCCTACTTAGCAGGTCATATCATAAAGTATTCCCTTCCTCCCTTTTAAGCTCACACTTATATATAATCTTTTTTGTTTTGAGGATTAATGGCCCTACCATGCAGATCATATTATAAAGCATTCCGTTTCCTCTCTTTTTCCCCTCACTTGTATATAATCTTTATGTTGTGAGGATTAGTGGCCCTACTTAGCAGGTCATCACAGAATTCCCTTTCCTCTCTTTTCAACTCACTTATATATAATCTTTTATTTCAGTAATGGCTTTATGACTTTCTCCCAAAAAAAAAAGTTGAAGGAAAAGGCAATTCTATGTTAACACATATATTTCATTGATACTTTTCCCCAATCTTGAACTTGACTAACGATTGAATTATTCTGCTGTACTATAAGTTATAGTTTTTATTAAATTTAGACTGACTAATAATATGAAAAAACCCACAAAACATGTTAAAGTAATATAAAATAATTTATGCCTCAGCGTTAAATATAGCCCCTACAAAGCATGATGTGACTGCAATATCATACTTCATGATAGGTGTAATTTATTTTGACACTTTTATTATTAGTTTTTTCCTTTGGAAAATAACACAAAAAAAATTACTCAAAGCCAACCGTTTGTTATTATATATGATTAATATCCTTGAGCCACTTATATATAAAATATTAAGCGTAGATCGTTTTATATTGCATATGCAAATTTCATGCGCATATCATGAAATTATACCTGATAAAAAATAATGGTTTAAAATATGCGTATGAGTGGCTCCCTCATAATTTAACTGCGATTATTGTGTGCTAGTGTGTGTAGTTGTGGCCTGAATTAATTATGATCTAAATATGGATATAAAACTGGGACTAACCCGTGATTTGGGGAAGATTATTTTAGACGCACGTGGCTGGCCGAACCATATGTGGCTTAATCAATGGTTAACAAAATTGCCGTTGAACTAACCATGATTTTTCATAACCCTGGTGATTAACATGTAATTTAGTCACGATAAGTGGTGTGGTCAATAAGTATATTGTGATATACGGTTCTTTTAGTTTGCAAAAGCAAATTGTTACATATCTATGTGTATGCTGGCTAGTGGTTAGTGGCTATTTAATTAGCTTAATTTGTAACAAAAATAATTGGGGGGGGGCCTATATATAATTACTATTCCGTTAGATCTTCAAATATTAAATCCGCCATATGTCTTGCCAAGGATCAAACAATTTCACAGTTTCATTAAAAAGATTTATTAAAAGCTAAGCAGTACTTAACATGCAAAACAATCCCAAAGTATAAAAACCTAATACTTCCAATTCTAATTATAAGACCTTATTTTTTGTTGTTGCTCATAGTATTCTCCCACTTGAACGGTAAGAGACTAATCTCTGAACCCAAGACATGATATTTAAAGTGCTCAAATCCCTTTCACTTGGACCAACACTTGTTGATTATATAACATCTTATTTGTGGTCTATAAACGAGTTCTTATAATTAAGAGATGAGCTAATATATTGTAGGGCCCTCTGAGAATCCACTCTCTCGAGAGTTTTTGAATTATTATATATAATAAAATAGAAAAGTTGTGTCTTAACCTACATGGTATTTCCTCTGATCCTATATATAAGCTTCAAATAACCGAATCACGTTTAACAGACTAGCAGTTAAAATTAGTTAAAAATAATAAATAGGTTAGAAATACTTTTGTTTTAAATTTGCCATTATTTATTAAGAGAGTAAATGAGAGAGGCAATAAATGAAAAGGTAATGAAAAAGAATATATAGAGATAATATTAATAAGGGAGATGAAGCATTAAATACAGTCAATTAAGGATACAATCATAAAAAAGTAATAAATGTTTATACAAACTAAAAAATAAAGTTTATATTTTGAACTAAATTTTTTTTAAAAGTAAAGTTTATATATAAGATCGGAGGAGTATAACATATAAAACAATTTTTTCGTTCTTTTTTTGGGGCCAGTGAATATGATGTGAAATTAGCGTCCGTCCAAGTTGTCATCTTAATTATTTTCCTCATCTGTTTAGTTACGTTCATGAATAAACACAAAATATGGGTTCAACACCATGTTTCGTGTCCATATTGACAGCTTCGAACTTTGTGATGCCTCAAAGTAAATTACACCTAATCAAACAACTATATTCAAGTATTATAAATTCTAAAAATACTTTTTCCAAAGAATTAGCTCTAAATATTAATTATTCCTCATATATTGTAAAATGTAAATACCTGATTATTTAAGGTTTTATTTATTTTTATAACTACAACTTTAATCTGATTTATTCAAAGTTTTTAAATATTTTTAAGGCTTTCTAAAATACGTATTCTTACGGCTAGTTATTAAAGTTTATCCGAGTCATGCTTGAAGTCTTAAATAATGTGTTTCGATATTGAAAACTAGGCGACATTCAAAATACGGGGCCCAAGAGCCAACTGTCTCTGCTTGGAGAACCAAATTTTTCTTTGGTCAAACTGCTTCTACAACCAAATTAAACACGGACAATAGGTCAACGGAAATCAAGCTCAGACGCAAAACACATGATCCCTGTTTCGACCATTCACATCGATTTTGGGCAGTTAAATTTTTTTAATATAAATTTTAATTAATTTTCTGTTTTAATCATTAAAATATTGTATATAAAAAAATTTTAAATCTAAACTTTTAAATGGTTTAAATTGCATTATAAACACAAGCACACATTTCCTAACGAAAGCCATCTCACTTCAATATCCCTGAGACAATCTGCATATTATATTTATAAGTTTTCCACGAGAAATACAAGAGTTCTTCTTAGTGTTCTACACAAGCACACATATTATATATGCTCATTACTTGAGAGGTTCGGGTTCTGCAAGTACCCCTTTGTTAGTTATAATACGTGTGTGTGTGTTAGTTAAAGATATAGCCAGTATGCGAAAGCTTCTACA